ACCCGTGCCTGGCTAACAAATACAGAATTTACAACAATGTGACTAACGTGCACTCATTTACATTTAGATTTAGAAATTAATATATAATACTAAAATTTGAATTATAAGCTTACTGACATAAATTCATGAAATATTAGTTCAACACAATTTTGAATGCGAGTCCACAAACATGATGACATGGTCTTTCACCCATGACCCATCTGGAAAGGGTTAAACAGGGTGATTGTGGAAGATGCAAAATCTCTGCTAAAGTTATGAGTGGCACTTCTAATTGAAATGGGTTCAACTTTCTCTTGATACACCATTGCCAATATTTGTGTCATTTCTGTTGAGAAATGTTCATCCTGTGACTGAGGAAAAACTGAGACAAATACATGGCAACCTTAGAAATTAAACCCCCAATGCTATGTGAAAGACTGCAGTACCCTTATGCCTGTAACTTGAGCTTTTGGATTGTTGGGTGTACCATGTCAGATCATGGCTCCCTCCACAGAGATGGCCTAAGAAAAAGTGTAAGAGGTGGACACTTCAGAAGATACCGCAGAAGCCGAAACAAGTGTTGAACAGCCAATCTGGTGCTATCAACAGGACCCAACAATGGGTTGGAACAAATCATATTTAGTGCCCTGGGTAACATAAGAAGTAGAGAGAAGGCTTAGAGTTGTAATCTGGCCCTGTCCTGATGTAATGCATCAACTGTCAAAGCCCTAAGATGAGGTACTGGAGACCAAATGGCCAGTAGTAGTAGTTGAGTGATACAATGAGAGGCCAACCCATAAAACAGAGTTGTAAAATGAGAGTCAATCCACCAAAACCTAGCAATGCAGCATCTATTCTGTCAAAAGAATCTGTACGGATTGAGACAGTTGACCTGCTACCACAGGCATCACCCATTTAACATGGCAAGCTAGTAGAGTGATAAGATAGGAATGATCCTGAGAAAGGAAGTCCAAAATTTGAAAACAAAGAGACCTGGACCAAGTGAACCAAGACACCACTACGGAATGTTCAGAGTGAAGGCTGATGATTTTCCTATTTATAAGGCCAGACCATGAGGCATTGCCTGTTGAAGAGCAAGGAGGACTAAAACACTGTGTATGGAAGTCTCTTCTTCCATGCATAGATTCTGGAATTCCTGACTGTTGGTATATACACTCTATCCCTGAAGCAAGGCATTCGTGGAACTCTATACGAGGTGGCAGTAGAGGAACCCATATTGTATAAGTGTTCCAACTCAACAACCCCTAGATATCAAAGAATGATCTTGAGTAAGGAAACTGGGGAATCCAATGAATCAATGTTTATGATCTCTTGCTCGCATAAAGACCATTAATAGGATCTCTTGTGCTCTTGTATCAAAGGCATGAGGGCTGTGATGCCCACATTACCAGAAGAGAAAGAACCATCCATGCAGTGGGAGAAGGAGAAGTGAGTAAGAGTTGGGTGACCTATTCAATAGAATTGAGCTGGATGGGAGACAGGTGTGCCCGACTGAGAGATGAGATGAAAAATAAAAAATACCAAGACTGACGACATATTGAATTGTAGGAGGGATAAAAATCTCAGCCCTGAAAATAAAGCCTGCTTTGGTTGTATCTGAAAGCAGAATTAGGATGTGATGGTCTGACAATTGACAAGATGGTCTCTGCAGTAACCAGTCGTCCATGTAATGGCATGTGCACAGTGTGATGGAATGGAGGTGATGAGAATAAAAACACATACAATACAGCAGAACTCATATGAAGCCGATGTGAATCTGAAGGTAAAACCCTGGAACTGCAGTACCTAACTCTTGTGCACAACAAATGCTGATATTGGTGGGACTCCACCACTATGGCAATGTGCAGATAGGAGCCAAATACAATAAACTTGTACATCTATATTTCCAGTAAAGAATGTGAACTCAGACCGTAGAATGAGTAACTTGGGAACTTTGGAAAATCTAGGTATTGATATAGACAAGAAAGATCAATGACTCAACACCAATCTCCTGTCTGCATTAGTCCAACAACCCACAGGAATAAAACCTCTGAAGAACTAGCACAACTTTCTCACTACCCCCAGACCAACCAAACTCTGATAGCCCTAGAACTAAGTTCTAATTCCCAATGATTTGGGGGAGAAACAGAAACCCTACACGTTGGGTGGATAATAGTGGTGAAGATGTGAATTGAATGAATAATCCTGACTCAAGAACCTGCAGTGCTCCTGGATCTGTGTCTCAGATTACCATACATCCAGAAATTCTCCCACAGACCCTGATGGTATACAATAATCACTGACACCACTGGCAGCGATCTGACCATGCAGCAGAACCCTTGGATATAGACAAAACCTATTCTGGGTACCAATATACTGAGGGGTTGAGGTCAGACCCAATAATAGGAGTGGAACTATGACCCCCTGTAGGAGCCGATGAAATTAAAGACTCCAACAACAACAGGGAGGAATGTAGAAGCCAAAAACTGATCTAATGTGCATACTAACAATGGATCCAGCTCGTCATCAATGAAGTTAGTGATCCTGAGAATCATCCAACAAGGTGAAGTGAAAAGAAAACAAAATGTTGGATTTTAGAGTTGCAAGTCCAAAGACTACCCTGTCAGATCAGGGGACATTGATCTATTCAGGTTACCCAGAAACTCCGCCTTAGGACCCCGAAATTCGAGGAGCAGATGTATTATTTTAGTGTTGAAAAATGCTTCCATCTAGCGGTGGTAAGCTAAATCATGAAGAAATGTAATACTGGGAAACACGTTAGTGATGCTTTGTCGAGAAAAAGTGATGATCTGCTTATATACAGTATCAGGAAGGAGGGAGCATTGACATAAGTGGAGAGTTTCATGAGATAAGTATCGCCAAGGGCAACTGAGTGGGGTATAAAAGACTGGAGCAAACGAGAAAAAATCAGACCAATGCTTAGATGAGCAAAAAAAAGATATCCTGGTAGTTGAGTAATAGCTATATGTTAGAGGAGAGGTATGTATGCTTTGGAATGTCTTCTCACTGATTGTATTTATCCTCAGAAACATTGTCATATTGAAAAGAAGAAGAAATCTCTGGCTGAACATATGAATCTAGCTCTACAAATTAAGGCCTGTACCTCCTCTGAAGTCGAACCAGTAATGTTTTAGACTGTAATGGGAATATCTTTAGTCGATAAATTGATCATAAATTCATACTAAGATCTCTTATAATTCGGTAACAAAAAATAAATGCAAAAATAAAACTGTTGAAAACAAAAACTGAAATGGCAAAGAAGCATTGAGAAAGCAAGAAAGATTGAGCAGGAATAGCAGAGGGAACTAGCTGTGTCAGTATTGATGGCACAAAACTATTGGTGGAAAGTAGTCACATGATATGTACATGTTCATAAACGGCATGAAACTGATGGGGTATATAGTCTGGTGAGCTGATCACAAAAATCTTTTAGCAATGCAGAAAGAAGATCAAGAGAACTATGTGTGAGTGAGGTAAGAATGTATCGGAATATTTGTATTCTGGATCTAGAGTGAAGTGGTTTGCGGAAATACATTTTGAGGTTAAAAAGTCAGATTTACGATTCACGAATCCAATCAGAGGTGACTGCTTTCTGGCTCCTCTTTTTCAACGAGCCAGTCATTATCCTGCTTTGTTGCCAAAGATCTCTTGATATATTCATTTTTGTCTTTGATTTAATTAAGACAGAGTTTTTATTGTGTGTTACATATCGAGTGCAATTTGTTTATGTCATTGTTTATACCCTGTTTGCTTTAGCTAAATTCATCATTATTTCATAATATATCCTGCTGACCTCTCATTATTAAGTGAACCTACTTAATACTCTGAGGAAAGCAATTTAACTCAAAAATACCACAAATGCAACCATAGGCTACGTAAACATTAACCCTCTCTGCATTGGCAACCTTAACTGTGCATGTCACAAGAATTTTATTGACTTACATTCAAAACTTAAACTACTTTTTGTTTATGTTATATCAATTAGTACAGCATAAAATTATAGCTAATCATCCATATTTTAATAGAATATAAGTTTTATGTTCTTAATTTTATAAAGCAATATTAAAAAAAAAAACCTGAACTTCCCCAGTGTGAGAAAGGTGACAACATTTTTTCTTCAGGCATCTCCTCTTTAATACTTTAATTTATTCATCACTCAACCAATAAGTACAAAATTTGATGTAAATTACTCACTATATAATCTTCTTCACTCAGACGAACCATAATTTTTATAGTCTTCAATCTTCTTTGGTTACAGAGCCATCAAATAGAAAATCAGACCTCGCTTGCCACACACACCTGTCAAATCTTCTCTTTTAGGATTTGTTAATAGTTCTCTCTTATGTTTAATACTATATTATTTATAACCAATAAAAAGCCAAGGTTTTCATCTATCAAATGACGTATTATATCACATTGCTTTCTCTTTTAGTACAAGCTTTGTTCCCACGGGAAACATATCGACTAGCACGGATAAATGTGCAACGACTCATGTTGCATAATTAGAAAGCAAGAAAAATTGTGATAGTTATGTGACATTGTCTGCTTTTTGCATGTTATTATTCTATGTTCCTTGGTGCATTATTTAATTAGATAAAAACTATTTAGCACACTACTACCATTAACATTAAAAAAAGTAAGATTAAGTGTCATCATCAGTCAACAACAACAACAACAACAACAGAAGAGGCCTGGGCAAGTACTTTATTTCTTGTTTTTCATGTTTATTCTTTATCTATTATTATAAAAGAAACTAAAATGTAAAAATAAGAATCTCTTTAGGTTATTTAAAGTTAGATTAGGTAAATAAAATAATAATAATATATTAAAAATGTTTCACAAGGCACACATGAGCAGCTCGGAGTAACTTGTGGGTAATGTTATTCGATAGCATAGCATGAGTTCTGCATTCCTCAAGTGATTTACAACTTATAAAGGTATGAATAGTAGTTAGACACAGTTCAAAGGACAATAAAACAATAAAATATAAGTATAGATGCATACTGTTATGAGTTTAAAGCTACTTAGAATAAATAAATGTAGTTTCATGTTACAATTTGAAGTCATTACAGAAAGAAAAAGGGTAATTTTGATTCATTTCAATTTTTTTGGTGATTACGAGGTTGGATAAATTGACCAACCGTTGTATAGAGTTAGGGTAGAGTAAATAACAGTGATAAAGTATAAAGCATTACTGAAAACAAATGCTTGAAATGTATTTAGGAGGTTTTAGAGATTACAAGAATAAAATTTAAGATTTTTGAGATGAAGAAAAGTATTTTTAATCTTAACATGAAAATCACTTTATGCTCGGACTTGTGAAAAAAACTCAATATATTCGTAGACAAACCTTTCTTTAGTTTATTTAACTCTCTCAACACGGGCTCAATCAATTTGACTGACCACTTGATCTCTTTGTACTTGATCAAAGTTTATAGATTTAATACTTCTAACTGTCAATATAGTGTGTATATCTTCATGAAATTTAACAGTCTTTCAGTTAATATTATAAGTCTTTCACATACAAAAAATCATATTTTTCAGTGAAGTATTTTTAATAAAATAAAATAATGATTTGCCCATTAATATATTGAGTATTTGTTTTGAATATTCTGTGTGCAAAGTAATTTTCATGTTAACATTAAAAATACTTTTCCTCATCTCAAAAATCTCAGATTTCCTTTGTGTAATCCCTAAAACCTTCTAAATGCATTTCAAACATTTTGTTCAGTAAAACTTTATAGTTAATCTGTTATTTTCTCTACCCTATCTCAAAATGGGTTCAGTTAATTCAACCACCTGGTAACCACCAAAAAAAAAAAAAAAAAAAAATACGAAATAAACCTAAATTAACGTTTTTTTTCTTTCTAGAATGACCTCAAATTGTAACATGAAACTACATTCGTTTATCCTAAGTAGCTCTAAGTTCGTAACAGTATACATCTATTTATAATTAAATTTTATTGTTTAATTGCCCTTTGAACTATGTCTAACTATTATCCATGCCATTATAAGTTGTAAATCACTCCAGGAACCCACAGCTCATGTTATGCTCTCGAATTACATTACCCGTGAGCTGCTCATGTCTGTGCTTCGTGAACCATTTTAATTATATTATTATTATTACTTAACCTAGTCTAGTCTTAAATAACTTTAAAAGATCCATATTTTTAGATTTTACTTACTTTTATAATAATAAATATGAAAAACAAGAAATACAATACTTACCAAATCTTCTTTTTTTTTCCTTGATTGTCAAGGACAATTAAGCCTAATTTTTTATGCCAATGCTAGTAATGCCCTTAATAATTTTTATTTAATCAAATAATGCATCAAAGAATATAGAATAATAACATGCAAAAAGTAGACAAAATCACTTATCTCTCAAAATTTTCCTGGCTTTCTAACTGTGCGATAAGCCGTTATAAATTCATCTAAGCTTGTCATTAGCTTTCCCATGGGAACGAATCTTGTACTGTGAGCGAAATTAATGATATTCTGTTTAGAACATGTTATACAATACGTCATTTGTTAAATGAAAACCTTGACCTATTGGTTATAGGTAATATATAATGAAATGTAAGAGAGAACTATCAATGAATTGCGAAAGAGAGGATGTGACAGGTTGGTGTAGCAGGTGGAGTCTGAATTTCTAATCGATAGCTCTGTAACCAAATAAAATTGAAGGCTTTAGATATTATGGTTTGTTTGAGCAAGAAAGATTATTAGCAAGATAAAGAGTATTTTAAGTTTAATTTCGTACTTTTCCTTAAATCAAGGCTTCAAATTGTTCTGTGATGATGGTAGGATTAGAGCATAGAAGTAATCCTGCATGTCTCCATTAGAAGTAATGTATATCACAGGATTCATTTACATGGCATGGGTTAAGTTCTCTGGTTCTTCTGAATGACCGTATCTCTGCTCGTGAGTATCTGACCAGGTGCATCCTGCAATGCTCTACTTTTATCCATAGGAAGATGGTTACTTCAAAGATGATAATGTCCCCAACCAGTGAGCTAAAATAATTTGTGATTGGTTCATAGAGCATGATATAAATTCTGAACATATACCCTGGCCTGCACAGCTCCCCTGATATAAATCCTAAGAAAAATCTATGGGATGTTATAGAATGAGTCATCTGGAGACATACTCCATTAACATAACCTGGGTTAGTGAGAATACTGATTAAGAAATAGTAAAAGACTGAAGCATATATCTTCAATGTCATACTGCATCCAGACTGTAACCAAGGTCCATAGTGGCAGAACATGTTATTTTTTGGTTTTCAAGTATTCTGGCCAGTAATTGTACATATAATAGCTTATTTAAACAGTCATATCTTAAGACAAACTTTCATATTTAGTACCTGCTTAAAGAAATTAAGAAAAACTTTCATATATAGAAAATGTCTATAAGCATTAGACCAGAAAAACTTTCACATCTAGTACATCTCAATAGACATTAGTTTAGAAAAACTTTTACACCTAATAAATGTCTATAAGCATTAGACCAGAAAAACATTCACATCTAGTACATCTCAATAAACATTAGTTTAGAAAAACTTTTACACCTAATAAACGTCTATAAGCATTAGACCAGAAAAACTTTCACATCTAGTACATCTCAATAAACATTAGTTTAGAAAAACTTTTACACTTAATAAATGTCATTAAGCATTAGACCAGAAAAACTTTCACATCTAGTACATCTCAATAAACATTAGTTTAGAAAAACTTTTACACCTAATAAACGTCTATAAGCATTAGACCAGAAAAACTTTCACATCTAGTACATCTCAATAAACATTAGTTTAGAAAAACTTTTACACCTAATAAACGTCTATA